GCTACAGTGTACATATTAGCATGGTACTGGCATAAAAGCAGACACACAGATCAATAAAACAAAATACAGAGCCTAGAAATAAACGGCTGCCCATGTGGTCAATTAACCTATAACAAAGGAGGCAAGAATATTCATTATGGTAAAGACAGTCTCTTCAATAAATGGTATTGGGAAACCTGGAGAGATATATGCAAAGGAATGAAACTGGATCAGTTTTTTACACCATATACAGGAAAAACTCAATGTATTAAATGCTAAAATTTAAGACCGGAAACCATGAAAATCCTAGAAGAAAACATTGACAGTAAACTCTTTGACATTGCTCTTAGTAATATTTATTTTGGAGGTGTCTCCTTGGGGCAAGAGAAAAAAAGAAAAAAATACACAAATGGGACTACATCACTAACATTTTTTGAACAGCAAAGGAAATTAGAAAACAAAACAACTTAATGGATGGGAGAAGATATTTGCCAGTGATACATTCAAAAAAAGGGTTACTATAGAAAATCCAGGGTCTGAGACAAATAATGCCCCCTTTTTATTACAAAATGATAAGCATGTGATTCTGTAACATAACAATATCACACTCAAGCACACCGTATGACATTTTAGGTGAAATGTTCAAATTAAAACTATAAATTATTACAGCCATATTATTATGCTACCAATCACACTCAAGCAGGCCTTACTTCTGCTGGACCCTATATGTACGGGACTGACACAACACCAAACTCCCCCCAACAACGAACCCAATTTTAAAAAAATGGGCAAAGATCCTGAATATGCACTTCTCTAAGGAGGACGAACAGATGGCCAATAGACATGTGAAAAGATGCTCAACATCACTAATCATCAGAGAGATGCAAATCAAAACCACAATGAAATATTGCATCGCAGCTGTCAGAATGGCCATTGTCAATAAATGAATAAAGAGCAAGCAGAGAATGGAGAGAATGGTGCAGCCACTTTGGAAAAGAGCATGGGTTTTTTTTTTTTTTCCAAGAAATTAAAAATAGAATTACCATATGGCTGAGCAATTCCACTTCTGGGTATTTATCTGAAGAAATTGAAAACAATATTTTGAAAATATTTATGCACTCCTATGTTTACTTATAAGAGCCAAGATATGGAAGCAACCTAAGGGTCTATTGCTGGATGAATGATAAAGAAGCTGTACATATACGCAATGGAGTATTACTCATATAAAAGAATGAAATCTTGCCATTTGTGATAAGATGGATGGACCTAGAGGGTATTTTGCTAAATAAAGTAAGTCAGAGAAAAACAAATAGCACATGATTTCACTTATATGTGGAATCTAAAAAAATAAATGAACAAACAAAACAGAAACAAACTCATAGATTCAGAGAATTGATGATTGCCAGATTAGAGTGGCAGTTGAGAGAATGGGTGAAAAGATGAAAGGATTAAGAAGTACAAATTGCCAATTATAAAAACAGTGATGGGGATGCAAAGTACACCATAGGGAATATAATAATGTAACAACGTGTGTAGTGTCTGAATAGTACTAGACCTGTTGAATTGATCACTTTGTAAGTTACATAAATGTCTAATCACTATGTTGTATATCTGAAATTAATATAATATTGCATGTCTACTGGAGTTGAAAAGCAAAAGTTAAAATACGGCACTGAAGAGAAAGGGGAAGCCAGCTTTGAGAGGGAGAGGTGAAACAGAATGCCCAGTGAGGCATAGTTTTAAAAATTATGACAGCTGTCTCGTCTACATGGATAAGTGTGTAACCTTTGAGCAGATTTTTCTTATATGGCAGGTGATACAAGGTGAGTAGGTAATCACTGTCCTCAGCAAGTGTTGATAGCATCCCTTATTTGACTTAGCTTCTCCTTTTCATTATCTCTTGGTATGCATGGGAGTGTTGGAAAAAACTTGCTTAAGATAAAATATATGAAGAACCCAACTTTATGAGGATAAAACTTTCAATGTTTTAAGAACAAAATATTGATCTCTTCTTTTCACCATACTCAAATATCAAAAGCTATGTCACTGTGGACCCAGGGGGGTGTGTAAAGAAAAAGAAAGGGCCCCAAAGGAACTAGCCTAAGCTGGGGGGATGTGTATCTGAGTTGTTCACTTGTGTCAGAATTGGGACTTTAGGGTCAGTTTAGTGGGTTCTGGAAAGGACCATGGTTAAGGTTGCATCTGTTTAGGACCCTCCACTGTGCCTGCGTGTACAGTGCAAGGAAACGTCTGAGCCTGATCATGTGAACCTAGGGAGCCATGACCATGAAGCAGGAGCCCATGGGCACCTGTGACTTGTGCTGGGACCTGGATTGCAGTGACGTCAGTGCAGAGTAAGCAGGCACCCGGGCTTCTTTCCAGCAGGACCATCAGGGGCAGTCAGAAGCCACATCTAGCATTTGGAAGAAAAAGTGATTCTTTCAACTGAGTCTGTTTCTGGAACTCTTTAACAATCTCTAAGGGAAAGTTGTAGATGCTGCCTGTATGCCTACGTTCATGAACCCTTCCTCAGTCTTCCAAGCACATCAGTTTAATTTCTGACTCCATCGTTGTATCTTTTTCTTGGGATGACTTGTCTTATATATTTTTATTGTTAAATATTTTATTGTTTATGCTGTTACAGTTCCCCCAATCCCCCCCCCCCTTTTCCACCTACACCCAGCCCACCCCCCACTCCCATAGTCAAGCCCCACACTGTCGTCGATGTCCACTGGCCATTCATATGTGTTTTTTGAGAAATCCCTTCACTTTCTTTCAACCAGTCCCCACTTCCCGCCCTCCCCTCTTACAGCTGTCAGTCTGTTCCATGTTTCTATGCCTCTGGCTCTATTTTGCTCAATAGTTTATTTTGTTCATTAGATTCTACTTTTAAGTGAGATCATTTGATATTTGTCTTTCACCAAGGGGCTTATTTCACTCAGCATAATAGTCTCCAGGTCCATCCATACTTTTGCATCTATGTTTCCTAGAGGAAAACATAGGCAGTAAAATATCAGGTATCTCATAGAGCAGTATTTTTGCTGATACATCTCTTAGGACAAGGGAAATAAAGGAAAAAAATAAACAAATGGGTCTACATCAAACTAAAAAGCTTCTGCACCGCTAAAGAAACCATCATCAAAATGAAAAGGGAACTGACTACATGGGAGAACATATTTGCTAATGATACATTGGACAAGGGTTTAATCTCCAAAATATATAAAGAATTTATATAACTCGATACCAGGAAGATAAACAGTCTTATTTAAAAAAATGGGCAAAGGACCCGAATAGATGCCTCTTCCAGGAGGACGTACAGATGGTCCATAGACATATGAAAAGATACTCAACATCACTAGCCATTGGAGAGATGCAAATTAAAACCACAATGAAATATCACTTACCCCTGCCAAATGGTTATCATTAATAAATCAACAAAGAGCAAGTGCTGATGAGGTTGTGGAGAAAAGGGAACATTAGTTCACTGTTGGTGGGAATGCAGACTGGTGCAGCCACTGTGGAAAACAGTATGGAGTTTCTTCATAAAATTAAAAATGGAACTGCCTTTTGACCTAGCAATTCCACTGCTGGCAATATATCCTAAGAATCCCAAATCACCAGTTCAAAAGAATATGTGCACCCCTGTGTTCACTGCAGCATTATTTACAAACTCCAAGATTTGGAAACAGCCTAAGTGCCCATAAGTAGATGAGTGGATTAAAAACTGTGGTACATTTATACTATGGAATTGTCCTGTCCACTTGTAAGGAGATTACATTGGTCCCACCCAATAATCCAGAGTGATCTCTCCTTTTTAAGATCCTATACAAGTTCCATGTGCCAAATCCCTCAGGCCATATAAGGCAATGTATTCACGTTTTCTGAAGATTAGTGTGTGGCTATCTTTACAGGGGCATTATCCAACCTACCACAATGTATGTGTAGTGGCTGGTAGAATATAAGAGAATAACAAAAAGAAAAGTTTATTGAACATCCAAAAAAAAAAAATACTCCTGTACTTGTCTTGTTTTCCATTCCTGAGGGAAGGGGTGGCAACTTTGCCTTTTTGCAGCTCTTAGTTTAATGCTCTCAGTACATTCTAAGGAGTAAAACCTCATTGAAAGAATGAATGAGTGAAGATATGTTTGCTTCTGGTAGAGCTCTTGACTATTCTGTAGACATTTTCAGGGGAGCATTCCTCTAGCCGAAGGGTGGGGAAGTTGAGGAGAATACGTGAGTTATCTGATTCTAATGTTCCTGACCTTGTGATCACAGAAGCGGAGGACTGATACATAAATCAACTGTAGGATTTTCCTCCCCTTTTAACATTATTTTCCTTTGATCTTCAAAAAGCATTGGAGAAAGTATAAGTTCAACTTTTACAAGTGGATATAAGACAGTTATACAAATGCAACCTGCTTCTAATTTCTTGCATTTTTTGATATGTCCAGTATTGAGTGTCTACATTGTACCCATTGTTTTGAATACCACATTTAATATAAAAAGTACACAACCTCAAAGTAAAACTTATTTCTTATTAGTTTGGATGAAAATTATTTTCAGAGCTAAAGAGTAAGTTTTCAAAATTTGGATTCTCCTGACACCCAAGAAGAACATTTGAGCAGAGCACGTTGGCTAAAGTGTTAGTTGCATTTGTGTGTGGGGAACATAGAATAGTGTTTGAATTTGGCCCTGTGCTTCCTTATACTTTGAATATTTGGGGGTTCTGGCTTTTGTGGGGTTCATTCTCTTAGTCTTGTTAAATTGACAGGACATCATACTGCATGTCTATCTGCGGAGCAGCTTCTGGGTTTGCTCTGCCCAGTTTTACAGTTTTGGTCCTGCTTCCCCGCCAAAGGCAGTACCTGTGGAGTAGACCAAGGTGAGCCTGAGTTCAAACACGTCCACTCCTCCAGATGCAGTGCCTTCCACCTCCAGGTGACAGATGATGCAGTTAATGTTCATGTGACGTTTCCCATTGGAATCCTTGAAATATAACTTTTGTGTGTTTTTATTCCTAGGTCCATGTACTTTTATTTACACATCGTAAGTCTCCTGATAATACTATTTCTGCCAATCAGACCACAATCTCCTATTCAACAGCAGCCTCAGAACTCTGTTAATAAGAGAAAAACAGATTGATGTCTCCAAGAAAAGCTGGATACGGAAAACTGCAAAACATTGAAAAGAGGAGATGAAAAGGCTCAAGTGTTCTTCAGTGACTTTAGAGGCAATGTTTACATGCATTTTTTAAAAATAAAAGTGCAGGGAGTATTTTTATAAAGCCTTTTTGTACAAGTAAATCAGCCATGTCCAGTTGATCTGTTTTAATGTTTTATAGGACATTGGAGTGGTGTGGAGTTGTGTGGAGAATCTGCTAGAGTTGCAGAAACAGTCCATCTGGGCTGCTGGGTCTTTGCCTTTCTGGCATGGTTTCCAGCCACTGAAATGTGGATGTTGAGACCCAGACATCTGCTCCAGAAGTTAGATGGTGATTGCTGAGGAGATTTGTCATAGGTTTCTTAAACTAGACCATATCCACATATGGTTGTTCCTTGGGAAGCCCCAAATCCTTTGACTTGTGACATTACTTTTTTGAATGCAATAACTCTATCAGAAGACCCCAGAGGAGTAGGGTCGTGAGGGATGTTTTTCAGGGTACTGAACACCATGCGAGCCAGGAGGACGAACCGTGAACACTTGAATGGACTGAAAGTCAGCCATGCCCTACAGTAGGCTGCATTTTTTTTCCAGGATGCATCTCTTCCCTTTTTTTCTTCTGAACTGAGCCAAGACTGTAAATCAGAAAGTCTCCTGTAGATATTCAGCAGGAGTCTAGGAGGGGCTGCTGTTTTCCAGATGTTTTTCCATTTCACATGCGCCATCTGCTTGCCCAGGGATGGCCCTGAGGAAACACCCTAGAGGTCACACCATCGCAGACAGAAGAATGTCTTCTAAAGAAATAATTTTAAAGGAAAATAATTCAAAGTTACATAGAAAAGTTGATAAGATATTTTGCTCTTTTTCTCCCCTCATTTCATAGAGGTGTTAATATTCATGGCCACGATGGGCTGACATTTATTTTTCCAGTCTCAGAGCTGATTACATCTGACTTTCTATTAGTTGAACTATCATATTGAAAAGCAAAAACTGAAAGACGGTTTTCTATCTTTTTTATGAACATGCTGTGGCTCCTTCTGGGGACTTCTATTGTGTAACACTCTACACGGAAGAGGGAAACATGGTATTAAGTGTTGTGGAAAATAATAATAATAATAATAATAATAATAATAAATTATATGCTACAATGGTGTGCCCTCAATCACATGCCTTGGGTGAAGCAAATTTGTTCAAACCAGATGTTTAAAAGTTAGTTTCTTACTGAATAAAAACTGTTTCTATGTAAAAGAAATATTTGTGAACAGAATTGCTTTTTGTGTGTATCAGTAGAGACTTGATATTTTGAACTATGTGTGTCTTTTAACAAATTGCACAAATGTAAGGTTTTACTTATTGAAAACAAGCATTATAACATGTTCAATTTGTCTTCTGTGTCAGGCACTTGGATGGCTTTGTTTTTTGGTGTGATTTCTGATCTTCATTCCCAATTTTGCAGATCATGTACACCTGTTTTACAGGCGAGGAAACCAGGGAGTTGCTTGCTGACTGCCTCCCTGGTTACAGAGTTAGTGGTAGAGCTGAAATCCAAATCTGTGGCTGACCCGGTAAAGCGATCGGCTGTGGAGAGGTCCCGCTGGTACTTCTTGTAGGTCAGTGAAATGTGAAACAATGTGCATGTCCCTGAACCTGAACCCTAATTCTCATGTGAAATAGTGGCAGTTAAGAAGCAGCACATTTGGGCCAGAGTATAAGGCTCACACCAGTTTTACTAGGAAATCTCAGGGCAACCCTATTTTGCTGTCCCAGGAGGAATATTAGATAGTGGGTACGGACGTGGGGCATATAGGTTCCTAAAATCTGTCAAGGTCTGTCTCCAACAGGAATATTTTGAGGCATTAAGACCAAAAATACGTATCTTGTACACCAGCAAAAATAGTATGTATCCCCATTGGCATAAAGTGTATGGAATAATCCATGTCACAGTGCAGTGTTTGGGTTTGCAATATAATTTGTAACCAGGTTTCACTGTATGTAAGTATCTTCAGTTCTGAGAGAACTTTGGTTGGGAGAGTAGAGGTGATCACTATGGTGACCAGCCATCTTGTTTTGCCAGGGACTCTGCTTCCCTCAGACCTGAGAGTCTAAGACCTTTGGTGCCCCTAGTGACTACCCAGAATCAGATAATCTTTATGAAATGGAGCCAAAGCCATGCCTCTGGAATCTGGGCTTCATGAAGCTGAATGGCAGACTCAGTGCTGGGCCTAAGACCAGGGGCACATTTTTCTTAAAATGTATGTGTGACTTTACTCAGCAGTGAAGGGACAACACATGGAGGAGCGATTAGCCCCTTTCCCCCTCTGAGGACGTTTTACCCATAGAAAACAATTCTCATTTAGAACCAAAGTTTAGGTAGGAGGTTGGGACTGTTTCTAGGCACGAGACCAAAGTTACCTTAAATATAATATTCGTTTAATAAATATGTATTTATTAAATTGGTGAATTTCAGTTTAAAAGAAATATAATTTATGGTTTCATGCTTGAAAAAGCCAAATTTAAAATATTCTATTTTAGTGTTTTTCATTTTTTTTATTTGTTAAGGTAACCATAAGGAACAGGAACATTATTTGGTAGATGCAAACAGCAATACATAATTTAGTCTGAGATTTTGAGTGGGAGGCGGGACGAGAGTTGGTGGGTCGTCTCCAGAATGGGGGTGCAGGCTGAGCAGTGGCCCTCCCGGGTGGCAGCCCTTCTACCCCCTGGGTGCACATTAGAACCGTAAAGGGAGAATTTCTTTAAATTGATTCATGTCAGCCTTTTGAGGGATCGCATCTTACTTCTCTTCTTGTCTCTAGTTCTTGGCACAGTGCCTGGAGTGTAATGAAGATTTAGGAAATATTTGTTGAATGAATGAGGGATGGAATGAATTCGTTTAATGCATCATTGTACTTGACAGTTGTGATGGAGTCATTTTTGCACTGGGAATCTTCTGCTTTTCAGAATTAGATTTTGAAAGAAAGGCTTGTGTTTTATAGGGAATTCTGAAAGCACATTATGTGAAATAACCACTCAGGCAGTCAATTTACATACTCTGAACGGCCCTGGTCTGTCCATCCATTAAGTAATGCTTCACTTGTTTATCTAATGTCGTCGTGTCTGCGTGTGGGCCTGGTACTCTGTTACACAGTGCAGGTAAAAGATGATGAAGGCTCATTCTGTGCCATCTAAGTGCTTACAGTGTAATCAGAAAGACATGACCCAGATCATGCTGTAGAAGTGCCTGGGAGAACCCCAGCATCAGAATTACACAGTAGTTGGTTGGTACACCCGTGTTTTCTTAAAAGTTTGCAACTATCTCATTTCACAATGTTGGCAGGTTACTCAGAAGAGCAACATCACTGCTCTCCAGCCTGGACAGGACTCATGTTCAGGACTTTTACAGCTAAGCCTGCCCTTGTCCTCAAATTGGATGCTGACTTGGCACCATATCAGTACCAGTTAATGCCCAAAGGAGCAGGCTGTGCTTTCATGGGTGGACTGTAGAGGTAGTCAGGTGGCTAGTTCCTCCTCCAGAAGGATCCATGCTGAAGGTTCCAAGCTCAGTGAATGACTTCATGAGGCACATAGGTATTTGTAGGAGAAGGTCCAGACCACAGGAGCTTTGTCTGCCCCCTAAACCTCTGGAAGGCTACCCACCAGATACTAAAGCAAAGAAAACTAGCCGCCATTGACAGTCCTTTCATATGTATAACCAAATACAGTCTGTGAACTTGGTACTATTATCCACTTCATGCAGATATGGAAGCCAAGGCTCAGAAGCTTTAACATTCCCAAGATCACCCAGCTAGCCAGTGGAGGACCTGGGGTTTGAATCCTGGTCTGGCAAACTCTAAAATCCATTTCATTGCCTGGTGCAGAAGCGCTTTTGTTTTCAGAGAGACAAAGAATTTTATAGTTAAAAGTACCTCTACAGCTCACCTGGTCCCAGATGCAGTGATTCCCAAATGCAGACTAGCTGCCCTGTCACTTGGGGAGCTTGTTACAGACGCAAGGTGAAGGGAAACAGATCTGCTGTTGAAAATGCTGACTGCTGCTATGTCTGTCATCTACGGGGAGCAGAAGTCCTAACGATGGAGGGTAGTGGTAACCTTGTTCTTACCCTACCTAGTTGGGAGAAGGGCAAACTGGTGGGATGGGAGCTAAGCTTAATCATTTGAATCTGTTCAAGAGGAGGTATTTTGAAAATGTTCTCAATGCTTGTGATCGTAGAAGACCTTTTGTTTAATATGATCCTTAGCACACTGAAATATGCAAAGGTTAGGCTAGACTGTAAGTACTTGATTGTGTTAGGGGACAGACTGCTTTGCTAGGGAAATGAGTAGGACCTTTGGGGAATTAGACATACCTATTCAGGAGTAGAAAAAGGAGACAGCAGAAATTGATGGCCTGAGGAGAAGGGCAATTCCCAGAAAGTAGACTGGTCACGATGATTTTTAAGAATAGAAAGGTGTAGAGTGCTGTAGGGAGACTTCCGGTCAAGATGGCAGAGTAGGTAAATACTGTGCTTGCCTCTCCCATGACCACATCAAAATTACACTAAATTATAGAGAAACCATCATTGAGAACCACCTGAAGACTAGCAGAAGTCCTATAATTAAGGATATAAAGAAGAAGCCATGGGGAGACTGATAGGAGTGACAGAGACACAAAATAGGCTGGCCCCACACCCAGTGTGGTAATTAAGAATCAGGAGGAAAATTTTACCTGTGGGGGACTCCCTGAAGAGCTAGGGGTATCAGACCCACACTAGGGTCCCTAGTCTGGGGCACAGGTGCTGGGAAGAGAAGTTCCCATAACATTTGGCTGTAAAAACCCATGGGGATAGCAATTGAGTGAGATGGAGGGCTACTAGTGTACCAGGTATTTGCCTTGAGGGGCCCACACATGGACTTCCATGCTCACAACTCAGTCACTCTGGGCTCCAGTGCAGGGGCAGCAGCTCAAAAAGTACCAGGAGCATAAAGGGCAGGACTGAATTGACTAGCTTCAGGGTGAGGAATGGAGCTGGAGGGTTCAGGGCAACTGTCTCTAGACAGAAATATCAGCAGGCACCATTGTTTCTTTGTTGATCTCTCCTACCCAGCCTACAGAAGCAGGTGGGCATCAAACCTGTGCTTTCCATTAACCTAGCTAATAGTTCACTTTGACCTGGTGATTCCCTGAAACCCTGCAGCATCCAACTCATTTACTGGCCCAAGTCACTTCCGATGGCTTTTCCACACAGCCTGCCTAGGCTTCCTCTGTGAACTTTCCTAAAATCTCTCTAAGGCCCACACTCCCCAAACAAACACTGGCTGGCCTCATTGTGGCCTCTGCCTCCTGCTATGTAGCCCCAAGCCAGCTCAAGCAATGACTGGTCTCAATTTGCATTGTAAATGCCATCAGGTAGCCCCACGCCTGTCATAAGCTGTGGCCAGTGTTGGCTTGGAACGTAGCTTCAACTAAGTGGCCACAAGCCTGGCCCAAGTGGCAGCTGGCCTCAGTTCACATTGTGGTGCCCACCAAGGATCCCAAGTCTAGCACTAGTGGCAGCTGGCCTCGATTCTCAGTGTAGCCTCTTCCAAGTGCCTCAAAGCCCAGAACAAGTGGCAGCCAACTATAAATCACTTCGTAGCTCCAACCAGGCCACCCCAAGCAGAGAAAAAATGGTAGCCAACTTTGGCTTGCACTAGATCCCCTTTCAAGAGTCTGCAGAATCAACACATCTGGTGGCCTGCTTCAGATCATACCAGATAACCACCCAACAAGCATCACAAATGATCCATGGGAAGGGTGGACTCCACTGGCACCAGAGCCCCACTAAAGTGACTCCTACTCTGTGGGGTCAAGCCCCACACAGCAGCTTATTTGCTAGGCCAGCCCTCACAGCCAGCAGCCTAAGGGTCAGTCCCACCCACTGATGTGCCAACAGACATCAAGACTTGGCTACAATAAGAAGGCACAGACAACTCACACAAGGGATACTGGAGCACCTGGCTCATGTGACCATGGAGATAGCTCCACTTGGCTCCTTAGGATATCTACTACATAAGGTCACTCTGCCAAGACTGGGAGATGTAGCTAATGTATCTAACACAAAAGAGCAAGCACAGGGAGTTAGCCACAATGAGGAAACAAAACTTTTCTCAAATGAAAGAACAGGAAAATCTCTAGAAAAAGAGCTAAATAAAATGAAAGCAAGCAATCTATCAGATACAGAGTTCAAAACAATGGTTATAAGGATGCTTAATA